TAGTCTCCTGACTACGAGACCTGAACCTGAACCTGATCCATTTTGTCTTCTCTGCTTCCCAGGTTGAACCTGTCTGAAACCAGAAACCCCCTGAAGAGTTTCTCTGTTGGAAATCTGTCTGTCTGATCTCAGAAGAACCCTGGAGAACCAAACCTGTCAAAGATCTGCCAGCCTCCTTATCGCCCTGCATTTGGAGTTGATGATACCATCTTACACCTGCTTAAAAAAAACCCACTGTCATTTAGACGAGGCAGATAGCCCTGTGAGGATCATGGTCTTTGATTTCTCCAGTGCATTTACCAGACAGAATTCTGTCATCTGCAGAAATACTTGGATGACTCTGCAGTCATTGGGTGCATCAAAGATGGACAAGAAGCTGAGTACAGAGAGCTGATAAACCGCATTGTGGCATGATGTGGAAATAATCTTCTGATCCTGAATGTCAACAAAACAAGGAAGATGATTGTAGATTTCAGAAGAACAGGAACAAGTTGAATCCTATTAACATCAAGGGAGAGGAAGTACAGGTGGTTGAGGAATATAAATACCTTGGTGTTCACCTAAACAACAAACTAGACTGGAGACACAACTGTGAATTTGTCTGTAAGAAGGGACAGAGCAGACTAGTTTCTAAGGAAGCGTAGGTCCTTTGGCATTTCCAGCAAGATGCTGCAAATCTTCTAGTCTGTTGTGGAGAGTGTGATCTCTTCTTTCATCCTCTGCTGGGGTGACAGCATTAGAGCAAATTATTTTAAAAAAGCTCAACAAGCTAAGGCCAGCTCTGTTCTGGGAACTCCTCTTGAACTTCTGGAGATTATTTCACAAAGAAGAATTCTTTATAAAGTGAATAACATTATGGACAGCAGAAGATTTTTAAACAACAACAGAGTGTCTTCAGTAAGAGGCTTCTCCTGATCTGGTGCAAGACAGACCACTACAGAATATCCTTCCTTCCCACAGTTATTAACACCTACAACACCTGTTTAAAAATAACTTATGAGTTACTGCAACATTTAATTTTCCTTTGGCATTTAAAAAGTATTTTAGAATTTAATTTATATTGTGATATAAAATTATACAATATCTATATAGGAAAAAATGTGACACAGTACAATACAATATGATATACAGTAATGCAATATAGTATGGCTGATAATAATAGTAAATACAATTGATTTTATGAATACAATATAAGATTATATGATTCAAAATGTATAAATAAGTGTAGTCAAATCATAGATAATATATTGCAACATGATATCAAAAAATGGTATGTGTTACGATATCATACAGTGATACAATACATACCATACATGAGCTGACATATGTTAGAACTGCAATATAATAAGCATGGTAAGACATGTATCAGTTCAGTATTATATAATAGGCATGCAAGATAATGAGATACAAATCAATCCAAGTAATAGTTTGTGAACTCAAAGTATTCTGTATGCTGCTATAAATTATATGATATGATATTTTATATTTTGAACAGCCTCAAAAAATAAAGCAAAGGCAGAGAACACTCCATGTTTAGCATGTAGACATTTTAAATTCTGAATGTGTGGAGCTTTTTATCTTTTGTGTCAATTATTTTTGTTCTGATGTTTAGAATCTTTTGCCATTTTTGTAGCTATGTTTAAAAACGTTTAATGTTGTCAATTTGAGAAGAAGATCAACACAAAAACTTCTCTATTTATTCCACCACTACTGGAACTTCAGATCATTGGTAGTGTTCGCATAATCTTCCGAAGAAATATAAACTTACAAAAACACAAATCATATTTTCATGTAGAAATGTTAAACTCTTTTCCCTGTAAAAAAAAAAAAAAAAAAAAAACTTTCCATTCTTCATATATATTTGCATTCATTGAGTTTCTTTTCAGATAGCATCATGAAATTCCCCTTGAAATTCTAACAAACATGGCTGCAGTTTCATAATAAAAAAAAATAATAAAGTTATTTAACTCAAGAAGTTGTCAATTTCTTCTTTTAAAAAGTTAGATAGAACATAAACAACTCTTTTTTATTCTCTCCGTCTCTGAGTTGCTTTTTTCTTGCTAACCCCAGTGAGTGAATATGTGTCTGGCAGTACCAGTCTGCTGTTAGTTGTTTTGCCAAAGCCTGACAAACAGGGGTGAAGCCTGGCAGGATGCCCCCTGGTGCCCCCACCTCCCCACACACTGCAGTCAGTCCAAAGGCAGCTGAAAAAGAGACCCGCCAAGAGATCAACAGTTGTTCTGACTGCGGTTGAGCAACTGACCAGGCTGCTGCACACCAACCACTGCACACTTAGGGCACCTGACCCTGGGTAAACTGACAAATGCCTTGGCTTTGGGTGTGTCTGCAGAGTGATGTGACCTAAGGCCTTGACGACCTTTCTGCAATGGGTCTGCACATGCAACTACTGGCCAAAGTCTCTGCCTCATATATAAGCCATAACACCTTCTTCTTTTTTTAACAAACCAACCTTTCCTGATTGCTTGAGCTGGAATATTATGATCTAAAACATCCGTAGGGATGTATGTGTTAAAGCAATTATGTGGAAGTACTTGGATCGCTTCTTTACTGTTGTTATAAGATTCAGAGCACTACAGAAAATATTTTATAAGCTTCTTTATTAGCTCAAACAGAGCAGCCACACCAACATTAATTCATTTTAATAAATTGGCATTCATAAAGTTGGCATTCATAGACATGTCAACAAAGACATTTAAAAGTTCATATAAGTAGATGGAGTACTTACTGTATGTCACAACCTTCTCATGTACAGCATGGTTGCTGGGTATGTTTAACTCATTTCTGCAAGGCTGTTAATTTCCCTGAAAGTAAGAATGGATTCCGGTGACCCTTTCCTATATTCCCTCCAAAATGCCCAGCTGTTGCTTCGGTGGACAGCTGCTTTGGGAGCAGAACAAATCTCAGCTGTCGATGGGGAGCTTTACGTGGGGGTTGGTGGAGCCTGAGGTTTGGATTCTTTTAAAACCAGTGACACTTTGCTCTTGGGCTTTGCATGATGTTGGGTGGAGTGTGGCAAAATGCTGACAGGCAGCAGCTTTAGAGAAAGAAAGTCTGTTTGTACAAGTAAGTGTGTTTACAAATATACAGATTGGTACATCTAAACTATGCCATTAAAGCTATTGGAATAAAATGTCAACTTGTTAGTGATTGTGCATAATAAGGAGAGAAATAGGCACGGACAATATGCACCTTCATCAGAATCAGCTAAAAAAATTCTTACTTTGTATTAACTTAATAAAGTTAACACCCACAATTGGCTCTATCGTTTAATATCTAATAGCTAAATCTTCAAATAATTTTCTATCTATGATTTCCCACATCATACTGAATCTGAGAATTAAAGTGCCAGGCAAAAATATCCAAATGCTTGAACTTTTCAATACTTTGAAATGATACAACCACTATCCTAGGTTTTTATTACAAGGATTTGATGTACTAGACAAATAAAAAGAAGAAAATTTAATTTAATCTTATTTTATAAAACAAAATCTATGAAGTTCAACTTACATTTACCACTGGTAATCTTAAATAAAAGCTTATACAACTGATTCCCTAAGAAGTCAACTAATTAATAGGGACATCCATCTCTAACAATTACAGAATCAAAAATAATCTTGTTACACATGCAATTTTTCTCTGGACCCTCTGTTCAAGCTGTCATCTAAAAACTGAGAGAATATTTCACAACTACAAGCCTATCAAATCATGGAGTTCTAAAAAACTAAGAAGTGCAGATTTATCTGAGAAGCAGGCAAGAGTCATTATAACTGGAGGAGCTACAGAAAATAGAGATCAGGTGATAGATTCAGTTCACAGAACAAATCTTATTCAATCGACTAAAATCTGGTCTTTAAGAAAGAATGCTCACAGGAAAACATTGAGAAGTCCTGCTTAAATGTATCAGAGGGAGTATAGGAAGCATGGCCAACATGTTAAAGAAGAATGTGCTCTGAGCTATTAAACTATTTGTTTGGCATGTCTTTTTTGTTTGTTTTATCTTCATGGTATTTATGGTTAGAATTTGACAAAATAAAGAATAAAAGCAAGGTAAAAATATCTGCAAAATACTTTGCCTTGCAGGAAACACGGTGTACACATATAACTCACATTGGAGCTTCTTTTGAAAAAAAAAGGTTTTCATTTATATAAAACATAGATTTAGTGTTGCAGTACACTTAAATTGTCATATATTACAATGTCACTTAGGAAACTTTGCAACTTCTAATTATATGGGTCTCTATTTGATGTTAGCCTAGCACCCTCTTGTGGTAATTTTTTGTAATCACAAGTGAAGCATGCTCCACAGGTGGTAAATTACTTTAGTTGTTTATACTTGCAAATTAAAGAATAAACGACTATCATTTATCTTATTGTCCTTTTATTAATTTTAACAAATTCTTTACAGTTTAATTCCAACGATAAACAAAGGAACAAAAAAACAACAAAGCTAAAATTGTTTTAATTTATTTAGCAGGGATTACAACAAACAAATACATTTAAAGATTTAGAAATTAATAATATACCTAAATAATGGGTATTAACATAATAACTTATTCGTAGTATGTTTTGATTTTCATAGATGTCAGTCTTAATAATAACACTGATTACGAGTAAATACATTTCAGCACCAAGGACAGAGACGCCTTTTGCTATCAATAAACTCATTGTTCTCATGAAGTTCTCGGTATTTTATTTACAGTTTCTGTCCTTAACAACACCTTTCTTAATTATAAGCATATTTTGAGTTGTTATATCTTTAGATTAAAATCGCTTCAGTTTTAAGCTTTGTTTTTGTTTGTTGGGGGGTTTGTTGTTGTTTTTTTTCCTGCCTGTTGGTTTCCTTTGTTTTTTGTGGGTTTTTGTTTTTTCTTTTGTTTTTGTTTTTTGTTTTTTTTACTGCATCACATGTGCTTGTTGCTGTTACAACGCTCAGCACCGATCGAGGCTCTTGTCCTGAAACCAGAGGGACATCAGGAACAGGAAGCTGCAGAAGAGGCAGCAGTGGTACACAGCGTTTTGCGACATTTTCACTCCTACTTTAAAAAAGAAAACGAATTGTTTTTAAAATGTGCGTTTAACGCATTAAAGCTCTTAATCATCGTCGGCTGTGCGCCAACTTTTTGTTCTTTTCATCCAATTTCGCGCGTTTGTTTTTAAGACCCTGCTAATCTAATACTACTTAACATCTCTGCGGTTTAAATCTCATCGTTATTTTCTTTCTTTCACTCTTTTTTTTATTTTATTTTATTTTTTTATTGTTTTGGGGGGAAACATGTCTCGGAAGAAGGCAGCTAAAGGAAAAGCGGCAAACAGTAAACAGTCAGCAGGCAGCCCCTCCGGGAGAGGCGCCGTGAAAGCTGCGAGGAGCAGTCCGAGCATCGTTCAGATGAACGGCGTGGTCCATCCAAGCAGACCCTCCATCAGCAACAGCAACGAGTTTTATGACATCGCTTTCAAGGTGAGATGAAAACAGCAGCGCAGGTCAAGCATATCACTTATTCTGCTGGAATGAAAGAATAAAAGAATAAAATGGGCGAGGGATAATTTGATAACACTGGGGTACCTTATCCAACCATTTCTACTTGTGCTTTTCCATGACTAAAACCCTATTTACCTCAATTTATCTGTTACACAAAGTATTTTCCTCTTTTGATGATGGATTTTTTTTTTAGAAGGGTGAACTGCAAGATTTTTTTTTATTCAGAAATGAAGTGTATAAAGATTGTACTCTTCTTAATAAAGGTAGTTTTCTTCTTCAGGTTGCAGACAGTAAGCAGTTGTGCATGTTGTCATGCTCAGCACGCAAATGAGTGGAGAGCTGCCACTTCAAAGATTCACAAACACAGATTTACACCCACAGATTCCCATTGTTTGCCTTTAAAACATTAGGATTTGCCACCTACTTCGTTTTTATGAAGTTGATGTTAAAAGCAAACGTATCAATGTCGCAGTGTTGCCATTTTAACATTAAATACCTATTAAACTTGCAAAAGAAAAACAAATTATTGGAGGCGATGTGTTTTATTCACCACATAGACCAATAGAACTATTTTACAAAATAATTTATCTGTAATCTTAAACTCAGCACCCTGGAGAAACGTATTTGAAAAATAAAAATAAAAGAATCAACCATTATATTTCTCCCTATGTCAGGGGTCTGCAACACCACTCCTCAAGTGCTACTGTCTGCAACTTTTTGGGTGCATTCCTGATTCAACACAGCTGAATCAAAAGGCTCAATTATCCCCTGGGCATGTCACTACATTTTACAAAGGTTAAAGCATTAATCATTCATTGGATTCAGGTGTGTTGGAGCAGGGGTGCGTCCAACAATTGAAGCACAGTGGCAGCCAAATACTGGAGTTGCAGACTCTTGCTGTATGTATTCTATGTGCAATATTAAGAAAGACTGAGAGTTTTTCTCTTAGGCCATAAATTGTGATCTTGTGTCACCAGAACACATTCTTCTGCAAGTTTGTCATCTGTCTACATGGCATATAAGAAACCAAAACTTGCTGATAGTTACCATTTAAACTGTAGCTCCCTTGATTAATTGGATGTGAGAGGTGGTTAAGGCTTTGAATATTGTTTTAAAAGTCTTCCTAACTTAAGCCCTGTCCTGTCTGCTGTGTTTCTTGGTATGCAAAATTCTGTATGTTCACTTACAGGTGTTAAAGGTAGTGCAATCTCTGTTTACAGTCAGAGACGACTCTTAGAGGATGACTCTCAAACAAAAATAAACTGTAACCCTTTATTCCAGATAGCTCAGGGAAATAGTTACAGAGATCAGTGCTGAGGTTTTATCCAGATAACATGGTCAAGGAATAAACAAAGTCATGGAATCATCTTTTTTTATAACACTAGGCGCACCCCTGATAGGGGGTGTGCACTGCCTCACATATCATCAGTAAAAAATGTGTCACAACTAGACTTGCACTGGTCAATAAGAGATGCACAGAATTTGGCTGATTTTACATGATCAGCAACAAATGGATCTGGTCGTTTTCTTGAGTTTTTCCCTGAGCAGACACATATTTTCTCCTTCCCTTGGTCCATGTTTGTTTTTGTCACATTGCTCAAAACAGGGGGACATATAACCTGCACAACAGAGGTAGGTAAGGCAGCGTTCTGGAGCTCAGGAAGTAGCAGCGCAAAATCAGTGTGAGAACACCAGCAGGGAGAGGCAAACAGCCGTGCCCTACTGAGAGGTTAAGGTACCACAGCTGGAGATCGGAGAAGAACAGCGGTATAGGGAGAAGCCTGCTAGGCAGACAGTGCACCAGATCGGGGGATAGGCCGGTGCTAGCCTCTAGAGGCTAACTGATGCAGTTGGAAGAAGGACAGTGGGAGACAAGTGCAGTTTGCAAAGAGGACAGAGCGGCATGGACAAGGCAGCAGCTGGCTGTTGTCTGCGCTAGATTTAGAATGAAGAAACAATCCTTCTAGGGCTAAACCAAAACGCCTTTTTTAAAAGCCACTCATGCACTCTTTAGAGCATTCCCCACTTTAGTCTATGTCATTACTTTCTCTATCTTCCATTTGGATTAAATGAAGCTCATCTACACTGCGTCCTTTATTTAAGTCAATTCAAGACACTTTCTCGTCTCCCAATTTTTTATACTTAATAATATAATTTCAATGTAGATTAGACAATAGAGTTGAAGTATGTATGGATTTCATGCTGGGATTGGTGATCAGCAATACTGGGATCGGCAGATACTGATTTTGGTGATCGGCTCTCAAATCCTGATCAGTGCACCTCTAGTCACCACTTGGGTGTTCACCATTAGCTTGTGTAAAATAACTTGCTAATTTTCACTGATTTCACAACCTGTAGCTTTATCTAATATCTGGCACAAAAGAGACTCAGTTCTACAGAGCTAGACTCTGTGACTTCTCAAGGTCATTATTTCCACTGGAAATGCTATCAGGACAATAAGTTGAATACATGTGCAAAACACACTTTTTATATTTAAATAGAAAATATGTAAAATCATGTATGATTTTTCTGCTGCATGTATGGTGTATTACTTTTTAGCTAAAAACTGTATAAGATTCAAAAAGGATAAATGTTGTTCCAAGGTCCTGTAACTCCCCTTGCTAGAATTGCTCTGCTTTTATCACTAATTAAACTTGTTTAATTGAAATAGCTGACAGACAAAAGCACAGGTTAAAGCAATAGCAGCAAAACAAAAGGGTGAGATTGTCAGGGCTTCTAAAACTGTGCATCTGCTCACTAACCCTGCTTCTCTGCGTCCCCCTCGCTCTGCTTCCTCTGTCTTTCATCTCCTGTCTGCTTCCTCTCTGGACCCTGGAGCCACTTCAGAGCTCCATATCTTGGTCCCACAGTCCCTTAGCTAACCTGATAACTGTAATCACATAAAACCTTTAATCAAATCACAACTTTGAATTAAACCATGCACGGCTGGTTGTGTCAAAGAAGCTTTGCAATGTATGTTTGTTCTACATGTAAGGACACACTTACAGCACGGATGTGGTCACAGTAGTCACAGAGTTATGTGTCTGCTCTTCAATACCAAGCAAAGAAATGCAGAGAAACTGCCACATCTTTATACCACTATGATGGATAGGTCTTCTCTCTTTTCTAGATGTAATTATTTATTATTATTCATGGTCTCAACACTTGGCACCAATCTCCCCATGTTTTCAAATGGATTATTTGGCTTTTTTTTTTTTTCTCTATGCAGGTTATGCTTGTTGGAGACTCTGGGGTTGGAAAAACCTGTCTGCTGGTCCGTTTCAAAGATGGGGCTTTCCTTGCTGGCAGCTTTATTTCCACTGTGGGAATCGACTTTAGGGTGAGTTTAAATCAATACCCCAAGGAAGCAATCACAAATTCTCCTACAAGCAATACATATCCTTTCATATTTTTCATGTTTAGTACTAATACTGAAACAGGGCCAGTCTCTAATAGGTTTCTTTTTAGAGCCATTCTCCGTCTTCAAATCCCAAGAGTTTTAAGTATGTCCCTGTGTCAGAAGAATGATATTGATTTCTTAAATTAGTTTGACATGTTTTAGTTTTACTGCCAGGGTGATCATGGTGTCTATCCTGCACTAGTTTTGTGGACTTTGATGGGCAAAGGGGGAGAAAAAATTTCCACTTTTTAACGAGATACCAAAGGAAACGAGTACATTGTTTCATCTTTTTTTATTTGATTAACAAAATTGCCCAAGGATAGGAATGCTTATTCATACCCAATCAGTAATGATGCATTGCATAAATTTAAATGTATTTGAAATGCATCAATATTTTAAGTTTACAAGTTGAAATCCATACTTTAGTTGGATCCCTTGATTTATTTTTTAATGTCTTGCAGCAAAATGGAACCCCAAATTCAATTCAATTGGAAATGCCAATAATCAACAAGACAAACAAACAACAAAATGTTTTGCTTATGTTGCGGTCTGTACATTCATTGGGAAGCCTGTTGACAAAACATCTGTCTAGCATACACAAAGGTCAGAATCATGCTCTGCGAAGAACATGTTTGCAATGGTTTTAATTGAAACTAGGAAACTAAGGAAAAAAGTGTGACACAAGCAACATGGCTTACTGCATCCTTTACAGGATTATAAAAAAAATCCAATTCAGAAGTTTAATAGAGATTCGGGAGGTGTGGACAGTAGCTGGACTCAGTGTTTTTCAAGCCTTCAGTACAGATGTATTCCTAGTTTCAAGCTCCTTCTGTGTGTCAGAGAGGTCTAACCTGGTTAAGGAGAAATTAAACTAAACTGCTGCTCCATGGTCTTTTTTCAGCTGAAATTAAGATTTCTATTTCATTAGGAAATCAATGTCCCATATAAGGGACCACAGAAACCAAGCTGCTGGAGGTCCAGTGAGTGGTTCCTACAGTTAACATTGATTTAGGGAACCATTTCATCTGCCGGTGATGGTCCCCTGAGCTTTATCAAGTCCAAACTACGATCAGCCATCTAGCGGGAAATATCTCAGCACTTTATGCTTCCCCCTGCTGACAAGCTTAATGGAGATGCTGATTCCATTTTACTTATTTCCATTATTTATGAATGAACGACTGATACACTTATTGATCCCACTCTATTGATTGCTGGGGAAATTCAGGTTTTTAGGCTTTCAAGAAACAACCTTAAAGACGGCAATAAACAGTCGACAACAATAAGACTATAAAATAAATGATGTATAAGGAAGCAATAAGCTATGTTCAATAGATACAGAGAGATAGTTGCATTATTTATGGAAAAAACATTTATAAAGATAGCATAAGACCATTGGTATTGCAGTGGCATTTGCAGTGATGAGAGGTAGCAAGGGTAGTAGTAATAACAGGCAGCACAAATATATCAGCAGGTTCTTGGTGCTACATAACAGGCTGTAGGTGTTAGTCTGAGCAGTTTCTATGAATGACCTGCACTATCTTTTCTTCCATTCGCATTTTATTTCCTCTATAAATATGTACATACATAATATGCATTCTCAGGAGGTTTTGGTTGCTGTTCAAGGACAGGACACTGAAAGCAAATGGTAATTGTTATTGGTTAGCAAAGGACAAGGAGCAGGATTAAATAAGTAGATGCTTCTTCCTACTGGAATTTTTATTCACTGTTTGGCTATTTTGCTTGTTGCTTTTCTTTATTCTAATTATCTCTTTATTGAATTTTGTTTGATTTCTGTTGTTTTTTGTTGCTCATTTCCTAACTAAATATTTCTTAGCATGAGCTAATAACTTTCCATTCAGCCCAAAGAACCAATGCCCATTTAATGTCCAGCGTAAACATACAGTATTCCCTTATTTTTGTTATCATTTGTATTGTATTCTGTAATATTTAGATACCTTAAAATTTTTATTTTCTTTAGCTTTAAGCCACAATTCCTCAAAATAATTGCTAACAAAACAAATTTATTATTTTGTGAAATCCATGAATAAAGTAAATCTGTCATTTATGTATTATTACTATTATTCATTGAGAGACAGTTGTATTGAATTGTATTGTACCATTGTCCCATGATAATACATTGTGCAGCATATTGGTATCCTAATGCCAAACTCCCTTCTTCTGTGAATTCACTGCCCCCACCTCAGACTGATTTAGATTTACAGATTTATTTGTGCTCTCCTGAAATTCTCTCCAATTTGTAAACATTTTAAATAATCCAATTCAGCTCTGCAGTAGATTTGTAATCTATTTAAGTCTAACTTACAACAACAAAAAAGCAAACTCACAGTGCACAAAAATATAAATTTCAACCCCACATTATTCGACTTGCCGCCTGAAAAGTCATCGGCTGCAGATAAATTACTCTGAGGGCATTGACCAGCATCTCTGAGTTGCTGTGCATTCAGCAGAAATCCACATGATAGATACCTGTGAACATGACTTCTTGTTTCATGCATTGATCATTCAGTTTTCACTTTTGAAAAGAGAAGACAAAGAAAAGAAAAGCTAGCACAACTGCCAGGACATGACTGCAGAATTTTAAAAGTCAGCAGTTTAAATATCGGTTACTGCTCCTCTGCACTCAGACGGTTTACAAATAAAAACCAAATTGCTGAAATATAAGGGAACTTAACTCACAATTGGAGATATAAAACAAAAACAAATTCTGCTTCTAATGTTGGTCAATTTTTGGCCGCTGTGGCTCAGTGGGCATAAGCAGTCATTTGGCAACTGGTTGATGGAGAATCCAATTCCAGCTCGCCACCGCATGTCAAAGGGTCTTTGGGCGAAATACTGAACCCCATGTTGCGCACCAATCTGTGAATCAGTCTGCGAATGAACAAATGTAATTCAATGGAAAAACTGTCTGAATGGTTAAAAACTAAAATAACCCATGCAAATGCAATTTTTTTGTGTGTAAGATACTTAGAACACATTCATCTGTGATTGAAATAATGCTCTTTATTTATTCATCTTCACACGACTGATCAGGGATTAAAGTTGCAGGGTTTTAAAAGTTTAATAAGACTGAAGGCAAAATAAGCTTTTTCATGCGGTAATCATGCGGTCATTGTTTGTTCAGGTTGAGTTTAACACCTAAATTTACTGTTTTGGACCTTCTTATATTAAATGTTATCATAAAAGCTTGGCATATATATATATATATATATATATATATATATATATATATATATATATATATATATATATAGACATGCATGATTTTATATTTTCTTATTCTTTTTTTAGATTGTAATTGCAGTGTGACTATAAACAGATTATAAAGATATGAATTAAACATGTGACAATACCTAAATGTTTATTAAGCTTTCGAAATGAATGCATCATCTCAGCATTTTCCTTAGAAGGGATGCATGTCAGTAGCCAGGTATACTTGGAGAACTTTACTCTTAAATATGAAAAGAATAACAAAATCTTTTGGTTTTCGCCAAAGACTTGTGTAAAATGCTAAACATTAAGCAGATGTCTATGAGCTAAACTCTCACACTAAGTTAGATGAGAGCTTGGCAAACGATAAGCAGACAGACAGAGAAGGACACAACCATCAGAGATGGTATATTTCAGCCAAATGCTATGTTTTGGCCTAAATCACACACAAATCTAGCTAGAATTTTGTTATTTGCAGTAACATTTTGCTTCAAAGGTCAGGCAAACTTTGTTTTTTGTTTTGTTTTTTTAAATACAACTGTTGTAGAAACTCCAGATTATTTCACACTATTCCTTTTTTTGGTTGGTAACCACTTTGTTTCTGAACCCAAAAGACAGCAATCTCCAATGTTCCAGACTTTATCTCTATGCCTATGAGGCTGCTAAACTGGGTTTTGTGCAACCTGCGGCAGGAGGCTCAGAGGCTGGAGGTTCTGGGAGTTATGTCAGTTAAGAAGAGACCCATAAAACAGAATGCAATGGAGACCAACAAACCCTCCTGCTGAAAAATTAAGGGTGAGAACTGATGGACCCTGGACTCTCTTTAATTACCTGCAGTCTCTCTTCAAGTATTAATAAATTATCATAAATAAATAAATTAAATAAATGTCCTTGTTCAGAATTACTGATCAGTAACTCTTTTATAATAAATTACTTATTCATCAGTCAAAGTGTCAGTCTTGGGATTTGTAAATGAAATGAATTCTACAAAACTTATATTCCTCTGATTCTTTTACACTAAGTATGCAAGTAGAGGTTTCTGATTGCATAAATGATTTACATATCAGAAACATTTTTGATACATTTAAAACTAAGAACGTTTCATAAAGAAATCTTACTAAGTAGCCTTAGAAGTTGCTGCTGTGATGCATAATTTCTGAGTCTTTGTTTTTCACTGCATCAGTTTAAAGTCGTAGTATTGCTGTAGAAACAATAGGGGTGTAATGATACTTTGACCAATATTCAATATATCAGTTAAATAACAATTCAGCTTTATTCATGTAAAATCAAAGTTTTACTCAACATCATCATATTTAGGATATGATAGCTCCTGTTAGGGCCGAGCAATAAATCAAATTTATTCAATTATCTGATGTTTTTAAAAATTCACGATTTAAAATTTTGCTAAATCATAAAATCGAGGAAGTCTTTTTTAGTTACGCGTTTGCTTCTGCTGCCTCTTTCCTCCTTCCTCCCGATAGCATGCTGCACTGTTTACTCGCGCCATGGCCACTGCCCAATCTGAAGAGTTGGTATCGCAAAAAGGGACTTGTGTTTCGCCAATTATATGTAAGTGGTTCGACGTGTCGATGTGTAGCAGACTACAGTTGTGTGCAAGGTTTGTCAAAATGGAATGAAAACCAAGAATAACAGCCCAACTGACTTGTTTCAGCATCTCTGGCAAAAGCACCCAACAGAACGGGAGCAGCACA